CACTCCCCTCTCTTACCCTCTCGGATCATCGCGCGTACAAACGCAATAAAAAAAACACCCTCGCTCCGCGGACTCTATTAAAAAAAAAAAAAAAACGATAATGGTAGACTCGCGGACGGCGGCGAATTTATATACCTATATTACATAATGTTATACTGCAGTAATGCGATGACATTCACGCGCGCGCCCATGAAAATTAATTGTATCGTTATTTTTGTCCAAACACGCGTGTGTTATAGAATTCGGTAGGTATATCATATTATACTCGTTAAGCGAACAGAAAAAAAAAAAAACCTATAAAATCGTTTTATGTGTTCGTTTTTTTTTTTTTTTTAAGCCCGATTCCCTTTGATTTTCCATATTAAAAACCTATATATTATATGCAAATTTAGCGGGTTTCCCCTCTCCCCGATCCGTTTCTCTGGCCGATAAACATACAATTATTCGATATATAACACACCGGCCGCTATATGTATCGTATTTACCGTCTCGTTTGCAAAATAACGGCGGCGCAGATGTATCTATAAAACTCCAGGACCTATTAGGCCGTACCTGTGTCGTCACGCGAGTATTAATATATATATTTAAAAAAATAATAATAATAATACGAGTGTGATGTCGATTCTCGTATAAAGACGTTCGGTATTTGACATTTGCGTCGTAGCGCGTAACTATTTTTACGTACGGCGGAATACATTTAAATTTTACGACAATTTCGCGTGTGTTCCTCTCGTCAGCGGCGGGTATTTCATGCGGCGATGGCCTCATGACCAATTGGACGGTGGCACTCCCAGGCTAAATGTGTGAATTATCGCCAACTGATACTTTATACATAATGCATTATTGTTCGAACAAAGGTTTATTGTTATCAATATAAATTAAATATTTGTTTATATTAAGTTGATATATCGTATTTGATTAATTCACATTAACTTTTCGTGCATTGATTATTCAGTGTTATTGTAACCAGCCAAACACTTCAATAAACCACAATTTTTACGAAGGATACAAAATCAAATTGATAATTTGTTAATTGAATAACGTAATTTCAAAAAAAAAAATCCCACAGACCTTTAAACTCTGTCGATCAAATGTCACATGTTTTACACGGCTCATCATTTTGGTCATTAACTCCAGTGTTCTCTTGTTTCGACGGATAGCGAAATAAAAAAAATAAAAAAAAGGATATTATGTACTATTAACATGTATGAAATGCTCATTTTTATTCATTTTTGATGTTCATAAAATATAAAATCACTATGAATTCAAGCATATATTTGTGGAATGGTAAACCGGTGAATATGGGGGGGGGCGGTGTTTAGGGGCTTCGTACCCACGACTCTGTCTAATAACGCTGAGGTGGTAGTGGTCAACCTCTAAAATCTATGTGTTTGCCTCATAAAATAAAAAAGTTCACGCTGCCACCGCCTCTCGTATTGGTATAGGTACACCTATACGCACGCGAACCGTACACGCGAATATATTTATTTTCGTGTGTACCGATGCGGCAATGGCCCAAAAAAATGGATACGTGAAAACACATACGGCATATAGGTATCAGGCAGTACACTTATATTAGTGATTACTGTTTAGCATAAAACCCATAGGCTACCTGAAACCTACAGGTACCTATTGGTATAATATATTATCGCATTATATGAAACCAGATGGTGCACTTCCTATTCGGCCCAAGTATTTCTAAAAAATGTAAACAAATAAAACCTACCTGAGATCAGTGTCACGCGTATAGGAAAAAAAATTCTTTATGAGAAATTATTGTTTATTAACTGTGTATCAATGACGTTTTTGACGCCGTTCAAACGTTGTACTCGCGCCGAATTCCTGTCTTTTATGATTTTTTTTTTTTTTTTTTGCTGCTCTCTACGTATGCCGAGTCAGCGAAATTTTGTATTTATCTCGAATAAAAAAACGATTCACTGATTTTTGCACTTATATTTGTGTAGGTTTTCATTTTGATGATGAAGAAGAGTAGTATTTCAATGAACGGACTTACATGGACCAAAATTTGTTTTTTTTTTTAAATAATTTTTTTCCTCCTTGTCTTTGTGGTATAACACAAAAAAATATTTTAAATTTTTAAAAAAGTCACTACTTCTTGACGTGTAAATAATATAAAAAAGAGTATTTTTAAAATATTTCAAATACACTTGTCAAAAATATTTAAGAAGTATTTGTAATAATTTAATAGTATGGGAAATAATCCCGGTTTTTCGAAAATCGAAAAATTACCCCTCTAAAGTACTTCTCTAGCGAAATTTTCTCAAATAGCTGGTTGAAAAGTGATGCACAGGAAAAGAAATAGTAATATTCTAGTAAAATATTTCGTACATTTTCCAGTATTTTTTTCAGTTTTTCAAATTTTATGAGAAAACTCGAGAAAACTGAAAAGTGAATTCCTTAAAGTACCTCCCTACACCGATTTCCTTTCAGAAGAAGTACTAAACTTAGAAATCCGAGCAAGTCTTCTGGTAGAAAAGTTGTAAACAGATAAAAAAAAAATAAAGTAAACATATTTGTAAAACCGTAGTTTTACAAATAAGCTTCATAAGCTTCTTCGCTCCACTCAAAATCTAAAATAATATTCAAATTCTAGGGATAGTAGTCAGTTAATAACGCCACCGCCTGACGATGCTAATGAATAAAGTGGACTGGGAATACAAATGATAATTTAGTACTTTAGTAGTGATATAATGATAATTTATTAGGATTTAAACTAGATTTAAGTATAAAATATAGTATAATTATACTTTAGATTCCGAGCATAACAAGGGAACTATTGATTTTACTAAGCTGTTTATTTTTTTTTCTTTGTTCTAGTCTGTAGACACGTTCTTTCCTAGTAAACTTGCTCCGATTTTTACGTGTAGCAACTTCTCCGAGAGCTCGAGTTGTCTAGATGGTAAACTAGAGAGGGCATTTTTTGATTTTCGACGACATTTTTGAAATAAAAGTATTTAATTGGGAAAAATTTTTAGGAAAACGTACAATTTCACGATTTCATTATTTTATAAAAACACGGACGACGTTTTCTACCAGAAAAAATAATTTAATCGAAAAATTACAAGATATTTTTTTTGTTGCCTTTTTTATCCGTTTTCTTACGATATCATTGCTAAAACTTTTGAGCCACTATTAAGCTTTTAAGGAATTTTAGTTTTTGGGAGTATTTTTTCTGTAATTTGGATAATCACAAATCACGTAAATCGCATCTAATGCTCAACCCATAAATCCCACCTATCGACTCAAAAGAAAATACTGCAGAGATTTATTAACCTAAAATAACATATCACGTTGGGTTCCAGCACTGGTGTCCTCCCTCCTCATATCATTCACAGTTAAAATGTATATCAATTGTTGTATTTAAAATTATCATATTTGCTTATTGTGATATTATAACACAGATGATAAATATTCTTTTTCAATAAAAAAAAAAAAAATTGAATATAAATATACGTAAAGACTTGAAACTTGGTAATAATATTTATATTGGACCTACCTAAACGTGGTCAAATTTTCAAAATTATCGGACGAATTTTAGTTTTTTTTTTTTTAATAAGCATTTTAAAATCAAATTTAAACGAAAATCTCCAAAAAAATTAAAACACTTCAAATTATGTGTTACCGAACTGCGCTCGGGATCGTCTTTCGTTAAAACAATGGTTTATCGTTGCTTACAGATATAAATGAAATAACCTTGTGTATCCTACTTTTCCAACTTCTCATCTACAACAGTGGCCGCTCCCATCCCCAGTATGGCCTTTTTTTTTGTATTAACTTTGAATACTCGTGTCAACACGAATTTAAATTTATATACAATAAGCACTAGCAGTATTTTTCATCGGCTCATTATTCTACATAAATACTAAATACTATAATGAACACGTCACGGAAAAATTTTCGAAAAAATAAATGCGTAGGAATACAATTTTTTTTTTTTAAATTGTTTTTTGCAGATATAGCTACAAATTAAAATACATACAAGATACAAAGAAAACCAAATTTAATACAATTTTTGGTCAGTTATCAATCGTCTACAATTTCCCGTAATTATTATCCTTACTGTCGTTAACTACTGTGCATGTATCGGAGGATCAATATTTATGGTAGAATATGTAGTTTACAAAAATTATAACTCGCGTCGACTACTATCTACTGCAACCACAATCTACACCATCCCTTTCGTAAGAGGTTTTTTTTTTCTTTTTCTGAAAACGACTTTTAATTCTTATTATCGTTAGAATAAAACATTGCAAAAAAAAAAAAAACCCCTGAATGGAGTAGATTTTAGTGTTCTGTATCGGTTACTGATTAGACTATACAATTTATATACCTACATATATACGTATATCGATGTTTTAAAGGCCAAACACATCTGGCGTTAAGGATAAACTAGTTTATCTGGAAATCGGGTTTGGTTGGTGCCGTATACATAACTATACATACAACAAATGCACACCGTCAATGTCCGGCCAACATTTATCGTCCGAGACAAGGTAGATAACATGCAACGAAATCAACGTTCATGCCGTTTTTTATAATTTTCTTTTCGTTTTTTCCAATAATTTTGAAAACCCCTTAGGAAATCAAAAAATTATCACTGTAATGCACATACTATGGAAAATTTGTTTTCGGGAAATGTGCTATACACAATACATTAAAGCAAGATTTCTTTTCGGCAAGTTATTTACAGACAGGAAAATAAAAGCTCCCATCATCAAAGTAAAATCAATAGATCTCTGAACCTATAACTAGAAAAATGTACGTACTTAAATAGCTATAAAAATAGAGGTATGATACATATCATAACAGAACTTTGTTAGTAATATCATTTGTCGACACTGTACAGTGTTCACTCATGGAAAGTATATTTGATCTTACCTTGTTTTACAACATGAATATACAAATTTGAAAAAAAAAAATTCATATTAATATATTAAATACAAATTCTAAAGTTTATTATAGTCAAGTATACATACCAAATTAAAGAGTAGATTTAATAAAAAAAATAGATATACACAACTTATCATTTGCGTTATACATATAATACGTACACATATTATAAAAGATAACTACATGAATAGGAAATAACTAGAAGTCAATAATACTTTGAAACCAATTCAAACTAAGTTTCTCGCTGACATGAGATTTGTATGTGTTTTGTCAAATTGGAGTTTTGCCTAAATGATTTTGTACAGATATTACACTTTAAAAGGCTGTTTCTCCTGTATGAATTAACTTATGCCGCTTTAAATTGTACAAATGAGTAAATGATACATTGCAAAAATTACATTTGAAAGGCTTTTCTCCTTTATGAATTAACTTATGCCGCTTTAAATTGGACAAATGAGTAAATGATAATTTGCAAACATTACATTTGTGAGGCTTTTCACCTGTATGAGTCATTATGTGGATCCTCAAAGCAGATTTTTTCCTACATGATACTTTACACACATTACATGTATAAGGTTTTTCTCCTGTATGAGTCATTAAGTGGTACTTCATAATAGATTTTGTCTTACATGATATTTCACAAAAATTGCATTTGAAAGGTTTTTCATCGGTATGAGTTTTAATATGACACCTCAAATTAGATATCGTCCTAAATGCCATTTTACAAACATTGCACTTGTAAGGCTTTTCTCCTTTATGAATTAAATTATGCCCCTTTAAACTTGACAAATGAGTAAATGATTTTTCACAAACATTGCATTTGTGAGGCTTTTCTCCATTATGAATTAAACTATGCACCTTTAAACTTGACATTTGAGTAAATGATTTTTCACAAACAATACATTTGTAAGGTTTTTCTCTTTTATGAACTGACTTGTGCCGATTTAAACTAGACAACAGAGAAAATGATACTTTGCAAACATTACATTTGAAAGGCTTTTCTCCTGTATGAGTCATTAAGTGAGTCTTCAAATTATATTTTGTCTTACATGATATTTCACAAAAATTACATTTGAAAGGTTTTTCATCTGTGTGAGTCATTATATGACGCTTCAAATCAAATGATGTCCTAATTGATAGTTCACAAACACTGCATTTGTAAGGCTTTTCTCCTTTATGAATTAACTTATGCCGCTTTAAATTGCCAACTTGAGTAAATGATACTTCACAAACATTGCATTTGTAAGGCTTTACTCCTTTATGAGTTAACTTATGCCGTGTTAAATTAGACGATTGAGTAAATGATTTTTCACAAACATTGCATTTGTAAGGCTTTACTCCACTATGAATTAACTTATGCTGCTTTAAAGTGGACAACTGATTAAATGATTTTTCACAAACATTGCATTTGTAAGGCTTTACTCCTTTATGAGTTAAATTATGTCGGTTTAAATTGTGCATTTGAGTGAATGATACTTCACAAACATTACATTTGTAAGGCTTTTCTCCTGTATGCGTCAATTTGTGGCCCTTCAAAGCAGATATTGTCCTAAATGATATTTTACAAACATTGCATTTGTGAGGCTTTTCTCCTGTATGAATTAAATTATGCGCCTTTAAATTGGATAACTGACCAAATGATACTTTGCAAACATTGCATTTGTAAGGCTTTATTCCTTTATGAATTAACTTATGCCGTGTTAAATTAGACGATTGAGTAAATGATTTTTCACAAACATCGCATTTGTAAGGCTTTTCTCCTTTATGATGAATTAACTTATGCCGGTTTAAATTGTGCAATCGAGTTAATGATAATTTGCAAATATTACATTTGTAAGGCTTTTCTCCTTTATGAGTCACTTTGTGGCTCTTCAAAGCAGATATTGCCCAAAATGATTTTTCACAAACATCACATTTGAAATGCTTTTCTCCGTTATGAATTAACTTATGTCGGTTTAAACTGGATGACTGACTAAATATTTTTTCACAAACATTGCACTTATGTACCTTCTCCTTTATATATTTCATTAGATGTGATTTTAATTTTGATTTTGAATTAAATATGTTACCACAGTTATTGCAGGTATAACTCTTTTTTCTAAGTCTTGGTTTTTTATGTAAAATTGATATCATAGGATCATTTTCAATAGTTATTGTACTTTCAAACATACAACCATTTATTAAATCAAATTCTTTTTTTATTACAATTGTTTGGTCATTTGATTGTTCTATTTCTACTTTGGAGTTGTGCATGTATCTGAAATATCATAATCACAATGTATACTAATTAGCTCTAACTTAAAACTAAATAAAATGTAATTATCAGTAGATAATTTAATAAAAGATTTAAATTGTATTATACAATTGTAAGATATATCTTGTAACAATGGATTGTATCAAAAAGAAAAACAATACAACTTAAATTTGGAAATTCCGATACAGGCAATGTAATAAAATATATAGAAAGAATTATATTTAAACACAAATATTTTGTTTTTATTTTATTATTTTTTAAAACAATATATTTATAAACTATACAAACGAGGTATAATACATAAGTTTAATGGCTAATAGACAATGATACTTACGATTAGAATAGGAAGGCTCCCAGCAAGGCCACCTGACAAGTTTAAGTTAATATTATTAAGCTTTCAGCAGATCCCTAGGTCATTTTAGACCTTTTTAGACTTCGGAGGATAAAAGTGACAAAAGAATGTCTTCTTTCTAATTAGTGTATTGGAATGTGATTTGGCCAGGTTGTTGAGGGTTGGTAAGTTAAGGTCTTTGTGGAGATTTTTGTTGGTTACAGAGGTTATTACATGGAGGTAAATATATTGGAATGATTGCATGGTTTTGGTGTTTGATATCTTTGCCAAACCCCAAATTCAGATACTATAGAGCTAAGCCTCATGGATTATCAATTTATTATAAGTTTATTCTTTAAAAAGAGTTTAGATTTTAAAAGGAGATGAGTTCAGGGATTTACGTTTTTATTTTAAGTGTTCCAGTTAAGACGTTTATCAAATGTTAACCCTAAATACTTTATTTCATTAGCTGATGGTATGACTTTGTTATTGAACATGACAGGTGGGCAATCAGTTAAACGCATTGTGAAAATTACATGAGTAGATTTGTTTTCATTGATTTTTATTTTCCATCGATTTGACATGTTTATCATTTTTAGATGACTTTGGATCATCTGACAGGCTATTTGGGAATTGTGATGTGACACTGATATTAGAATGTCATCTGTGTATGTGCCAAGATATGTGAAGGGCGTCTAAAGAATGTCTTGGGTGAATACAGAACATAAAAAATGAGCGATGTCACTACCTTGTAGCACCTCTGTTTTTATAGGATAACGAGTTAAGTAGCTGTTTTTAAGACAAACTGTAAAATAACGGTCAGATAGATAAGATTTAATTAATAAAAAAAAAGAGTGCTGAAAGAAACTGTTTTTAAATGTATAGTATTAGTAACCCTTTATGCCACACACAGTCGAACGCCTAGGAGACATCCAGAACCATAGCGGGACAAAATTCTTTCTTTACCAGTACGTTGGAAATATTATCGACAGTACTATGTAGTTTGGGGAGTCCAGTGGTGAGCTCTGAAACCAAATTATATGTGCGGAATGATATTTGCTGAAGTAGGAAGAGGCAAAAGTCTTTTTAGGAGAATTTTTTCAAAGATTTCTGAGAAAGTAGGGAGAAGACTTATTAGTCTATATGATAACTAAATGTTCAGGTTTGTTTGGCTTGAGGATAAGTATTACGACGGATTGCTGCCAGGTGCTTGGGAAGTATGATAGTCTGAGAATTGAATTGAACAGAGGGAATAAGTATAATATAGCTTTACGTGGTAGGTTTTTTATGATGAAGTTTGTGATAAGATCGTGTCCCGGGGATTTTTGAATGATTATGATGTGTTAATTTTTTCGGAAGATGTTGACTTGGCAATCAACGACATTGGGAGAGGGGATGCAGAAGTCTTAAACAATTTTTAGTTAAGTGAGGCGGGGTTGAATGTCTTGAAGAGAAAAAGAGTTTTCTAGGTGTGAAGCTAGAATATTAGCTTAGTCGATGACTATAATGATCTACGAGTTGTCTGCGTTTCATAGAGGAGGTGTTGGTTAATTTAGACAGAGTAATATTTTGGTAGATTTCCATGGGGAAGAGTGTTTTGTGGTTAATGTGGTTAATTCAACAGAGGTATTGTAGGATTTGTTCCTGTCGTTTAAAATTGCTTTTTTTATTTTGGTGTTCAATTTGTTAAGTTTTACCTGGTTGTTAGGATACCTGAATATTGGCCATTGATTTCTTATTCAGCCTTTTTTTCGACAATCAATAATTTTATGTGGTAAGGGATTTTTTTCTTTGAGTTTGTATTGGTTAAAGGTATAACAGATGAAAGTGCTGCTTTTAAGATAGAGCTGATTAGGTCAAAACAACGTCATTGATTTCATCTGAAGTTATTAAAGAATCCCTGAGTTTAATATCATTGTTTACCAAGTTTTTGAAGGTACGGCAGTTTAGTTGAAGTATATTTTATATGTGTATGTACTTTGTTTCGGGCTTTCTCAATTATTGTAAAAAAAACTTAGAAATCAACAAATTTCCTGTCTTAAGTACCAACAAAATAAAATTTCCTTTCAGAAAAAGTGGTACAATTGATACATAAGAGCAAGATTACTGGTAGAAAAGATGTTCATAGAATAAAAAATTAATAATAATAACTAACATCATTGTAAACTAATAGATTCCTCTCTACGCTCTGAATGACCAAATCTAAAAAATCATTAGATAGAAGAGCAAAGACGGTAAAACAACTATTCATCCTAGTCAACAACTATCTTATAATTAAATCTCAAATTAATTATAAATTGAATTCGCTTTTTTTAGCAAATTGAATGAACTAATAGAATATATGGGACTATTTAAATTAGGGAAATCTTGAGAAAATCGAAAAACGACTTCCCTAAAGTACATTCCCAGTCAGATTTTCTTTCAGAAAAAGTTCAATCATTGTAAATTAGAGCAAAATTGCTAGAAAACTTATTCACAGGAAAAAAGAAGGCCGAAATATTTTTCAACTAATATCTACAATTCGTACATATTCCAGTTTTCTTTACGTTTTTTTCGGTTTTTTACATTTGTTGAGAATACTCCAAGGAAAATGGAAAAATTACCACCCTAAAGTATCTCCCAAGTCAGATATTTTTTCAGAAAAAGTGCTATCATTTTAAATCGAAGTGAAATTGCCGGTGGAGAAATTGTACACAAAAAACAGGCCATATGTTTCCATTTCGTACATTTTCCGTTTTTCTGACATTTTATCCCGGTTAAACGCTTAAAAATATAAAAAATGACTTCCCTAAATTGCAATGGATATAGAATTTCCTTTCCGAAAATAAGCCAAACTTGATACATCGGAACAATATTTCTAGTTGAAAAGTTTGCACAACAAATTGAAGCGTATTTTTTGATTAAAATAGTAAAATAGTCTAAGGGAGCAAGAGCTGGGTTTCTAGATACATTTAAAATGTAATAGTTTTTCCTTGTTTAGGTAAACGTGAAAAAAAAATGCAGAACATTTTTTTCGACACACTGGTTTGAAATTGGAACCTCTAAAAAATTAATAGATCTTATATAACTATTAGATCACGACAAATATACAAGGTCAATTATAGAGTTATTTAACATAACATAAAATATCCGCATAATACCAGAACTCCAAAAGGCCATAATTTCAAAACTTAGTCCGCTTAATTCTGACTTCACCATCATTCTTAAATCGGCAATATACATATGTTCAAAAATAAAAAATAAAAATTGAAAAATTAGATTTATTCCACATAATTTTTTACTTAAATGATATTTGTCAAAATTTAATATTAAAATTCCCTTATAAAAAAAATTAAACTCGATTTTTTTTACACAAATTAAGATTTTTAATGAACATCCTGTTAAATTTTGAAGCATTTCTGTTCAAGTCTAATAATTTTACCACAGAATACATACCAAATAAATATTACTAAAAAACTCTCAAAATTAAAATGTCTCTAAATACTTCCCCGTTAGCAATGGTCAATCGTTGCATGCAGATATACAACAGTGGTTCACCCATTGGGTGAAATATATCGGTTTTTTTTATGTACATGATATCGTTTATTGTAAATTCCAGTTAACTGCTTACCATGTTTACATATCTTGTCTTTTTCATAATATTTTGAATATTTCAAATATTATGAAAAAGACAGCGGGGTAAATTGTATTTGAACTTCTCTAATATCACTTAAAAGCACAATTTAAGACTTATATTTTAATAATCTATTAATAAATGCATAATAAGACCTTGATTTTGGTACCATTCATTTAAATGATGTACATTAATTACACTGATATAATGAACACATAAATGAATCCTACACAAAACAAACAATGGTGAAGAAAAATTTAAGAATTGTAAAATTAATAGGTAAAATTCATTAATCAAATAGTTCAATATTTTATAATTAAATATTTGTTAAATTATTGTTTTCCTAACATTTTCTAAAGCTAGTAGAATATGTTCATTTTTGTTAAGAGAAATAAAATGCCAACAAACTTCAATTAGTAAAACTTAATTTCAATTATCACTTAATTATGGGCATAATTATTAATAGTTCTCTGCTAATTGTGCACTGGACTTTAACATAACTTTAAAAATATTTTAATTATAAAAGACATCATTTACAGATTAAATTGGTTGAATTCAATTTTATTTAAACTATAAAAAAAAAAAAACAACTTACTGTGGTGGTTGTTTTTCATTGTCAGTTAATACACTTTCATAATCATAATCATTTAATAATAAATCAGTTTCTTTTTTTATTTCAATTGTTTGCATATTTGGATATTGTATTTCTTCTTCAGAATTAGTTGTAAATCTAAAAAGTTATGAGATAATAGGTAGTTATGTGAACTAGATACCTTGAATTTAGAACTGAATAAAATATAGAAAATATTTTAAAAATTATTTCTTAAGGAGGATGGTAAAACTCTAACCAAATTGACTTTTTTGAAAATGATAAAAGAGGTAAACATCAAAAAAAATTACATATGTGTAAATATGTTTAAATTTGATCATCAATTAAAAATATAATACATGTACTCGTATAATATGCAGTGAAGGAAAGCACTTTGAAATAAAACAAATTCAATCATGAAAACAAAAAAAATAAAACAAATAAATTATGTCAAACTACAAATAATTAAAAAATTTAAATAGTTTTATTACTCTATGGTAATAATTAATAATAATTTTATTATCAAAAAACTGGTAAGTTGGTAGGGAGTCCTAAATTGTTATGTGATACAATATTATTAAAACTATTACCTATAATATAATATTTTAAATACCTATTTTGTATTTTTATGTTAAACTTCAGAGAAAAAATAATACAAAACAAAGAATAACGTTTCTTTTTTTTTTTTTAATGTTATACTCAAAAACTAAAATTTTAAAAATTAAAAACGTTTTCTATCCTTTCTTAATATGAAATGACATCATTTACAGATTAAATTGGTTGAATTCAATTTTATTTAAACTAAAAAAAAAAAAACAACTTACTGTGGTGGTTGTTTTTCATTGTCAGTTAATACACTTTCATAATCATAATCATTTAATAATAAATCAGTTTCTTTTTTTATTTTAATTGTTTGCATATTTGGATGTTGTATTTCTTCTTCAGAGTTAGTTGTAAATCTAAAAAGTTATGAGATAATAGGTAGTTATATGAATTAGATACCTTAAATTTAGAAATTAACAAAATACAACAAATTATATCTTATTTAGGATGTTACACAGAGAATGTCAACCAAATTGCATTTTTCAAAAATAATAAAAGAGAGTTTCAAAAATGTGTTTGTTTTTGGTTACTAATAATATAGTACCTATAAAGATATAGCCATTGTAATACCTCTAGAGATAATAAAGATAATTAAATTCTGTTTTTTTTTTTTTTTATATTACTGGAATAAAAAATATAAATATTTATATTACAATGAACGTTTTATGTTTTGGTAAAAAATAATTATTTTATTATTTTTAAAAAATTAGAAGATAGTCATTTTACAGTTTGTTCTTTTAAAAATTTTGACATATCAACTTTTGTTTTTATTAAATTTGTAATTTTTATTAATTTTTTAAAGTTTAGAGAAAAGAATTGTACAGTCAATTAATCGTAATAATAATCAATTGGAGAATATGATTACAGCCTGCTGCATAACTACAGGTTCTTTTCTCTGAACTTTAAAAAATTATTATCAAGGCATAAAAATTAATTGCAATATAAATATTTATAGTTCTTATCCCTGCGAGTAATACAAAAAAAAAAAAACAAAAATTGAATTATTTTAATTATCTCCAAAGATGTATTTAAAATCCTAATAGTTAGGTATCCATCACTGGTAGAGATCATAGCAAACTAACAAAATTTTCCTTACTTTTATTTTAAAATATAAATTTTATAAGGTCCAACAAGTCATAAAAAAGGCTTTTAACAATATTCTCACAAAACAGAAAGGGACAAGAATTGAAGTGTACTTCAGTACACTTGAAACTTATGGTTTTAATCGTGACAAAATAAAGATTTAAACTGATATTCATGAATTATTTTAATTTCAAATGACATACAATACCAAAAACACATTTTTTTAAATACATTTTAAGTTCATATGAGTAATACCTAGTATGTATGCAATTAAAATAAATAACAAACACATCTTGAAAGAATAATTTCTTTTTTTAATGCTACAGTAAAAACTCTTTATAACGACTCATTTTAATAAAAAAAACCATTAGGTGTGTAACGTAAAAATTACTTAATAATTATAATTATTTAATTATTCTTATTTTTACTTATCCTATTTACTTACATTAAAATAATGGATAGATACTCACTTTAAATTTATTGAAGAATTGTTAATTCTTTGATTAACTTCCATGACAAATATTACATATATAATAATTTTTTATCACTTTAATTTTTTCATCAATAATACATAATAAGAATAATCTTATAAAAAAAAAAAAAAGAAAAGAAATAAACTAATAATATTATAAATTTAATGTTTCTGTATTCATGAAGAATTCAAAAATTCGATCATACATTTCAAAACGGTTTCGACAATCGTCGCACACACTACTACATACTACCTAAACAATAAAATAAAATTGAAAAACTTATAACTTCACGCTACTCACGAATGATAGTGGTCTATGTTGAATGATAATTATTATAATTCCTAATCTCCAACTCAAAATTTGCTTTCTATTATTTTTGAAGGGAGCGAAATCCAGATAGCCTACAAAATGATAAGAATGTTATAGGCGGGAATTCGAAATTCCTGTGTGATACAAACTGTCAATTTTTCGAAAATTAAAATTTTAATAAAATGAATTCCAATACTCTGTGTACAAACTACGAAGATTGAAACGTGTGTTGATATCAATCTAATTATCTACTGCGTGATAAACGCGTACTACAAGTTGTTTAAATCATCGTTATTGACGAGCGCTGAGAGGAACGACGTCTATTGCGCATGCGTATCAGTACTCGTCGCATATTTGTCGCATAATCGTTATAATACCACCAGACGGTGATGACGGGCACATCATTTGTGGTGATCACGCGAATTCGGCCAATTGCGCGTGATATATTTTGTGTGCGCGCGCGTTTGTCCCAACTACCCTTAGTCACGGTTGCTTCGAATATTTATTCAATGGCTCTATCCAAAGTACGATCTAAGATATCCACACACGTTCGATCAAATCGCGGTTAAAGATGTTATACTGGTTGCCCAACGCACTATGAAATTGCGACTACAACCCGCGCGTTCCTAAATTCAGTAGATTGGTCAACCGACAGACTTAACTGGATCCGCTGGAGGGGAAGTGATTGATCGGATGTTGCTTAATCGGCGTTCAGCAATCTGATATTTTAAAGAGCCGTTTGATACCTGGTCAAATTTCGTTTTGTGAATTGAATTAATTCCTCGGTTGTTCTTTCTGAATTTTCGACCAAACCGTACATTATGTAGTACAGGGTTGGACGCCGGGCCGGTCCGTAAATTGGTAATGGGACTGGTTTCGTAAATGGATTATATTATTGTTCGGCCCAGGTAGGTTCGAAGAGCCACAACGACTGCAATGTAGTGTGCACCAACCATTTTGCCACTGCTGTCATATTTGAATTACCTCCGTTATTACACGATCGGCGGTAATATCGAAATATTTATTGTAGCTTTTTCTTTACGTGACCGTGTTATTATGTTCGTATAGTTATAAATCGGAGCAACATTTCTGGTAGAAAAGTGGCGAACAGAAAAAAAAGGCCATAATAATTTGTTTACTAATAACTACATTTCGTATATTTTCCGGTTTTTCGGGCCGTTTTTTCCCATTTATTAGAAAAACTCCTTGGAAAATCAAAAAATTACCTCCACAAACCACCGCCCAAGTCAGAGTCCTTTCAGAAAAAGTGTTATCTTAGGGAATCAGAGCAAAATTACTGGTAGAAAAGTTGTTCACAGATTAAAAAAAAAAAAAATAAACAAACAAGAATCTGAAAGGGTAGGTAAAATGAAGGGCCGGTCTTGTCGAGCACGACCTACAAAACAATTACCTATTTATGCGTTTTTATCTTATTATCATAGGAAAATAGAAAAATAAAAAAACGTTACGCACCATAATATGCTCATTATCGTACGAGGTTACATTACCGTGTTTGAGAGCGTAATATTCAATAACTAGGTATATAGAGGTTAATTTTTTGTTCACCTACCTTATTTCACCTACGCGATTGCCGTCGACCGCCGTTACGGTTGAGAGTGCAGCCAGCTCGTTCTGTAATTTAGATTCCGAGCGTAGCGAAGGAGCTCTATTGGTTTTACTAATATGTTTGTTTGTTTTTTTTATTATTATTATTATTATTTCTCTCTTTCTTTGTTCTAGTCTGTGGATACGTTTTTTCCTTGTAAACTTGCTCCGGTTTTTACGTGTAGCAACTTCTCTGAAAGCTCGAGTTGTCTAGATGGTACTATAAAGAGATCATTTTTTGATTTTCGACGCCATTTTTTTAAATAAAAGTACTTAATTGGGAAAAAATTTAGGAAAACGTACAATTTCGTTATTTTATAAAAACACGGACGACGTTTTCTACCAGAAAAAATAATTTAATCGAAAAACTACAAGATACTTTTTTGATTTAATTTCTCACTGTATTATTGCTAAAACTTTTGAGCCTTTAAGGAGTTTTAATTTTTGGGAGTTTTTTTCTGTAATGACGTGGTATAATTTACAAAAAAAAAAAAATGCTATGTATAGTATTATTATGTATCTGGTCGTTGAAAAACTTGTCTATATATTGTAACTAAATTTTATTTTATACTTCAAATAGATGATATTATAATATGGTGTTGATTACTTTTGCGTGTTTCCGAACAAATAATTATAACACATATTTTCAATAATTGTGTACAGTTTTCTAGTCATTTTTATTGTTAGGCCTTTAAAATATATTATATTCTGAGCAAAGCGAAGAATGTATTGGGTGTTTTATAACTTGTTTTTATTTGTTTTTGTTTTTATATGTGTCTGCTAACAATCTATCTACCAGAAGTTATAATCCAATCAAAACTTTGTAGGAACTTTTCTCTTTAACTTTCTAATCGGTGTTTAAAAACAGTCTTTTTTTTGATTTATGTTTTAATTTTATTATTAATTGGGAAAAACAATCAATTTTTGGTGTAATTTCTGTCGATTTCTGCGTTACGTTAACAACAAGGAAAAAAATACGACTTATAATACTCGGCCCAGAACCGTTTTCGTTAGAAATGGTTTATCGTTGTGTACAGATAAAATATTAATCCTCCCTTCCAACTTTCCTCTTAAAACGGCTAAAAAAAATGTCACAGTTATAGTCAATATTAGCATTTTAAAATTTAAATTAAACGAATTTAATAAAATACACACACATATCGTTTTCAAAAAAAAAAAAAAATGAAAATAATTTTATATTTTCTCATACATGCGCATTGTACCATTATAGACCTTGTAGTAATGTATACTTGTTTACGGCAAACTGGCCTTGCTTGTATCACTATATACGTAATATACCTACGTACTCGTATTATTTACTACGTTCGTGAGATAAGATAAAGGCCGTTTTTTAGCGTCGGTGTTGAATGGTAAAAAAAAAAAACGAAATTGATTTTGTTTATTATCTACCACAGTACCACGGTGCAGCTACACTTGTATACACGGCAAAAAAATAAAAAAAATAAAAATATTAAACGCGGCTCTGAAATTGTTCAAACGTCATCGTCCCACGGTGTGCTATAAATTCCGCATTAAACTAATATATTTTATGAAAATCTGTTGGGTGTCGTATGCATCAAGCCGCAGTCGAAAGTACGTTGCGGGCCGATAAGTTAGTTTTGGTAGGGGAGTGTTGTTGAGAGAAAAAAAATGGCTATAAAAATCAAAAAGTTGTTTCGAATTCGCATATTTCAAGCCGTTCGAATATTGATAAACGCCTAAATATGATACGTTCAAGTGCGTGTTTATACACGTTGTATATTATTATCAGTGTTCGAATAGGCGGCCGGAATTGTATTTTTTTTAGCGTCCCTTACTAATTATTTCTATTTGGAAAGAGGGACGGTAACCGGTAGGTATCTAGTTTCACAATGAATTTTGTCTCGTTTTATAAAGAATGTTATTTTTTCAAAAAACGTTGATTATATCAACTCAGTTTTTTTTTTTTTTTACTGTGTACAAAATTCTACTAAAAATCTTTTTCCGGTGTGTAGCACATTTTTGAAAGAGAATTTCATCTGTTTGGTACTTTAAGAAGGTCATTTTTTGATTTTACAAACAGACTTTTGATAATAATTGGGAAAACAGGAAATTTTTTAAATTTTAAATCATGAATTTTTGTTGTGATTCAGTTTAAAATGTTCGTAGAGACTTGAAATTCGGACAGAAAACGTATATTTTCCATTTCTAAACGTGGTAAAATGTTCAAAACATTCTGGAAGTTTTTGAGTTATCTATATATAGCTACATGGATTTTTTGTTCATATTTGATTTGGTGTACGGATTGAGCGAAATATGGTTTAAGACAGTGATAAATGACGTGTATTGATCTTAGCACCACAAAAATTTCAACAAGTAGTAAATTCTGAAATATAAGAAAAAGATATACATAATCGCCCCCCATTACGAATCACACGATAACCCCCTCTGTTTCCTATCAGGTATCGCATAGCTGTTTCGCAATAATAAACGCATCGTCTATGCGAAATCTCTATAGAAGAACATTACTGTTGCTCATTATACCAAGTAGATACAAAAAAGCGATAAAAAAAAAAAAATAGTGACGTTTTCATGCCTCGTTGACCTTATTCGTTTATTTAGAAAAAATATAAAACTGTTTGGCTAGAGTTTATATACAATTGAATTGCACGAAAGATTCTTCCAGGTAACCACACCGTTTCGAAGTGTCAATTTTAATTATATACGTATATGGCTGATAATTTATTGCCGTATGTGATCCTTACAGTATCTGTAGGTAAGTGTGTTATCGTTTAAACTAGTAGCCAGCGACAATGTTTTTACCCGCAAAGGTTACAGTTTTTTTTTTTCAACCTTTTAGATTTTGAGCGGAGCGAGAAATGTACCTATTGGTTTTACAAAGACATTGAATTTTTCTGTAAATAACTTTTGCACCGGAAATCTTGCTCAGATTTTCAAGTGTACAACTTTTCCTGAAAGGAAATCCGACTGAGGTACACTTTGAGCAAATCATTTTTTGATTGCCCCAACGGTTTTCATAATAAATGCAATTACAATTGCCCGACACGGATAACCGTTACGTCCGATACATGCCTTACCCACCCCACGCACCACCCCCCCCCCCCCCCTCCCGCTGGATCCGTCCCCGGGCGTCGAGGAAACCCACGCAGCGGACACGCGACACGACGCCGAAACGTTTCGGTTTCCGGGAAAACTCGACGGTCGTCGACCCGTGTCGGGAAGAAATCCGCCGCAACGCCGGCGCGGTGGTCGTCGTGTCGGCAAAACGGTTTTTCGCCCGCTCGCCCGGCCGTCGCGGGCGCGCGCGCCACGGTTATTCTCGCGGACGCGCAACGGTGCGTTTATTATCATCACCGTCCGAACGCGCGGGCACACGTAATATTATAATCCGTTCCCGAACCGATGACAACAATAACGCGCGGACCGGTTTCCCGACTGCAGACACGCCGTCTCTGTGCGCGCGGACACGCAAACCGGTATCGTATAAATTACATTGTGTATTATTACTGTTGTTGTTGTTGTTGTTGTTGTTGTTGTTGTTGTTGTTGTTGTCGTTGTTGTTGTCGTTGTGGTCGTCGTCGTTATTATATCCGTGCGTGTATTAGTCCGTTCGTCGGCGGCGGCGTAACGCACTCGCAAGTCGGCGTGACGAGTCGCGGGACGAGTGACGGGGCGGAAAAAAAAACGATTACGTTCGCGGTTCTCGATGTCGCGTACGTACGGCCGCCTCCCGCCGCGGAGCCGTTTTTTCGCGGCGCGCGGGTTTACGGGGTCGTCGCGGCGTTCGGATTCCTCCCGGCGAATCAAACGCGGCCGGCCGGACCGCGAAAACGCGAAACCCACGGTGACGTGACGGACGTCCGTGACGACGGATTCGGGACACCGTCGGCGCGGCGTTTCAAAATTCGGTTTCGGTTTCGGTTTTTTTTTCTTCTATTGTACCGCTGTTATTGATGAAAAAAAAAAAAAAGCAAGCGTTTCCGAAACGCGCGAATCGAAAAACCACATCCCGGTGATATCGATTTCCGATTTCAAGGCGAAATATAATTTTCAACCGCGCGTAATTTCCCTCCTCCCCCCCCCCCCGGCAACGTGTCCGTGGAAAGGTCCCGCGTCTGTGATCCGCATAACAAATGACATAAATATGTTCTAGTACCCATTTTCGATCGTGACCGTGTTATTTGTTACTGCGAGTATTACGTTTTACGTTTTATATTTCGTTTTGTTCATTTGTCTTGCATTTTCATTCGTATGTACATATTATTTATTTATTTATTTACTCAATATTTTATTTGTTACGCTACGCACTGTAAGTTAGCCGGCGTCATATGCGAAGTAAATAAATAAATAATTTTCGATCGTGTTGGAACACCGAGGGAAATTAGTGTTTTCAAGCCATTTTAATCGAGTTTATTAACATTCTTGTTTAAACACCTTTCTTGACCCGGGGGCAATTCGACCATTACCCGTACAGCTGTTTGTTGTTCGGAGTGCAGTAACGACGGTTACTGTTCTTTTTCATTTTTTTTTTCAACCCAATTCGTTCTTACCCGTATTTATAGGGGTACGCGTATAGTGCCCTCCCGCAAAATACTTGGAAAATAATGATTTCGAAATAGAATGTATAGGACCGGCTCTGCGAGGGTGTGTCGGAACGGTATTTATTGAAATTATTTTTAAATATTTGGAAAGAAAAGTTAATTTTCGATTGTGATTTTTCTTTTAACCGGCGTTTTCCGTGTAACCCGATCGACAGAAATCGACGAGTGCTGCGGTTATAAACGAAATACGACGGGTTTTCCCCATTTGAAAATCGCGTGCACTGCGAGGGATAAAAAAAGCAACAGGAAAATGTCCGTAAAGTTTTCGGACGGAAACGGTTGTTCGCAGACAGACACGGAAAAAAAAATAAAAAAAAAAACAAAAACAAACAAACAAACACGTCTCGGCGTACACGTGTACGACGGACACCGGTCAACGCGTTCGTCTCGACTTCTATTCGCACACGCGCACGCGCGCCCGCGTAAACAGACGTGTCGACAATTCTTCGCGCGCCGTGATCTGTTGCGGTTCTACTCGTGTACGCGTACCGGAATAACAATAACAACGACGCGGATACGGGCGTGCGAATCGCGCGCGCCGGCCCGTAAAAACGGCTACGGCGGTCCCGGGACGACGGGACCGGCCGCACGTACGTAACGGCGCGCATTACGCGTAACGCGCGATGAGATATCGTCCATAACTGGTTTATCGGTTTTCGTCAGATTCCCGCCGGCCGCCGGGCCGTACAATTTTTCCCACCTACCGCCCCGCACACGCATTGTGCCGCGTGTACGTACATCCCGTACGGAATTGTACGCGTAATTATACGCTCGTATCGCGTCCTCGTATCTGATACGATAATATTACACCCGGTGAATTAGTTAGAATTTTACGTACTCGTATGTCATACCCGGCAGTTGTTCGCGCGCGCGCGCGCGCGCCCGTGTGTGCACGTGTGCGTGTGTGCAGACGCGACGGCCGTCTAAACACGGGTACACGCGTCAAACGTTCCGTTATAAATTTGTGTGTGCGTGTGTTTTATTTTTAATATTCAATTACGCGGAGACTTTACCGCCGTATCTGGGGAAAAAAAAAAAAAAAACACCATTTGTTCAATCAAACTGTTCCGATCGATAACATCACATCTGCCAATTCCGCCGCCGCCGCCGCCGCCGTATCTTTTCTCTCCCGATACGACGGCGCTCGTTAACGAAATTAAGATCGACTTTTCTAACCGTCCGCAATAAAATTGGCCGCGCATACGGCGCAGCTGCGGTATGGAATTATCGTCGTTTGTACGGAGGCAACGGGAGTGCGTATCTCGGCGGCCGTCGAGGTTTTACGGACCGGTCGGATTTACGAGAACAACACACACCGTCGTTATTGGCTGCGGCCGGCACCGCGGTATAATCGCGACCAGAGGAACGAGACCGAACTCGTACGGTCGTTCAGACGATAAGAACAGTCGCCGCGGTTAAACGGCCGCCGGAAAGCGCGCGGCGTACGTGCGGCGGCGCAGCGGGTTTTACATAACCATTGTACGACGCGTGCGTTTTATTTATTCTCGGTCAATTAAGTAAGCCAATCACTTAGCTACAGTCTAAATCAGTCTATTCGCTAACGTTCAATACCGTACCAATCGTTCGACGGTCGCTTATGCAATTAATGGTTGCGAAATGCTGCCGTCGAGGCGGACATTTGTTTATAACCACGTTGACGGCCACGACTTTTTATCATTTTCGCTGACCGACAATAAAAAAAAAAAAAAAATTATCAAACCGTATGATTGTATCTTTTACCCGTGTACCTATATGAGTCCTTAAGCATTAAGCTGTAGGTAATGATAAGTATATAGTGGTGATGAAAATTCCAAGGGGGGAGGCGATCCACCAACCGTTCCTTTCCCCGATATCAGCCCCGCTGATTTTTCGAGGCTCGTAGTATCTCAGACTATAAGGAACGTTGGATGCCCTACTAAATAGCACAGACATAATCAATCAAAGGGAAATTAGAAAACGCTCTATAGATACTCGTAACTTGGACCAAGGAAAATGTAAAAAGTTACCAGATGTAATTTCAGCTATTCGTAACCATAATAATTACAGCGTCACCGATACGTTTCGCTACAGTACCTATAGTGTTTTCCTTTTTGTCTGGGTATATAGCGGAAAAAGCACAAGTCATATCATTGATGTCTTGAAAAGTTGAAAGTTTAAAAAATGACACTTGATCAGATACTTTGTTCAAGCTGATTTCATATTAAGAAAAATATAAGATTCAAACCTCGTTCACGGGAGATGATAATATAGACTAACATAGTCTCTCGTTAACAAAAACAATTACTTAAAAGACACAATACAGTGCAAGATAATATTATAGTCTTTATTTTCATTAAAAATTCGACGATAATGATGAATCGGTCGATTTATTTAATTTTTGAAAAATAAAACATATTGTAAGTATAATCAACGTAGTAAAAACCGTAGAAATTGTTATTTTTATTTCTTTTCATTTGTAAAACGACATAAATTTACATGGATTTTTTTACTAAATTCGCGGTATATATACATAATAATAATACACTTAAATTGTTTTATATTTACGTGTATACAATTCGCTATTCGCGTGTTTTATACAAAAGCTAAACAATATATTATTGCGTTAGATGTTATTCGATATGTCGAACTTTGATGCATAACAATAACAGTAAAATAATATTGTAAATACCAGCGCAGTTTTCTCGGAGAATATTAAGTAAATTTGATTTCTGTTTTTTTCCCCCAATCGATGTATGAAATCGTTTAAACTTCATTGAAACACTATTTCAATTGTTACTCTAACTCCTAATCGAGTTTCTTAGCTCCGTCATCAACAACATACGGTGCATTTTCTTCGGTCCTCGCGGTCCATAGCAAATCTTGTTTTTCAAGTGAGATTTCCATTCATTATTTCCGATTATTAAAGATTTTTCCATTAAAGAGAGGAACTTTGTGTATTTTTTTTTCCGCGTCACCAAAGGACGGATCACTTACTGACCGATAAAAAAAAAAAAAATGATAGTGGATACAAGTATTATTCGTGGTACGCGATGCCTGGTGAATAATTCAGAAAGAAAAAAAGGATAACGAGGACGGGTGCAGCCACTATTGTAGGCGGGAAGTTGGGAAGGTAAGATGCAGAAAACAATTTAATGTATATCTGTAAGCAACGTCAAACTATTGCTAACGAAAAAGCGATTCTGAACGAAGTTCAGTTGATAGTGATGCTTTGTCATATATGTCGTGTCATAGTAAAATAATTAAATAGACATTATATATTTTCTTTAATAATTTTTTTATAATATTGATTCGGTTTTCCTGTTTTTCCTGCAGTTTTCCTGTGTTTTCACCTGGTTTTTCACATTTGTAGAGAAAACTCCTGAGAAAATCGCAAAAAAGATCTCTTTACGGTACCTCCCTACATCGATTTCCTTTCAAAAAAAATAAGAAAAACACCTTAGTAGGTTATAAATTAAACACACGATAATACATAAATTCGCACGCGGTACAATATATGTTACGCGGTTTAATTCATCGTACAGCAAAACCTGACGGATGTACGGTGCGTCCAAAGCAATCAAGACACACGTTAATTGTAAAAAAAAAAAAAAACAAAAAAAACAATTGACGATAATGTTTTGGACATTATCTGTAATAAACATTTATAATACTATAGAAAAGTAAAACAAACAAAAAAAAAAGTGGTACACGTATTATTGGGTGGTTAATAATATGGTTTTTGCGACGGGCCGAGTGACTACGTCCAGAACACGCACCACGCGTAGGTAACACGGAGACGGGTAACACCCCGACCACACGCCTGAGCCGCCACTCGAGTGGGGGCGGCACCGAGCTGCCCGCGGTTCGTTACCGCGTCGTCGGGTCGGACGTTGGAGGCTGGGTGCCTGGTAGGTTTTGTCTTGCGGAGCGTGTGGATTTCCGGCAGACCAACGGCGCCGGATTGTCCGACGGGTGCCGGTCCGGCAGCTTCCGCCGGACGACCACGGACGTCCGAGGTGCGGGGGGCCGGGACGACGGACCGCGAGCCTCCAAACGGACCGCCTCGGCGCACGACCACGGCGACCGTTTTGCACGTCCGCGCGTTTCGTGACCGGCGGTTCTAGCGCCGTGACGGGCACGGCGTGGCCGATTGCAACGCACGCGAACGGGCGGCGTTAGTCGCCGAGTACGCTGCGGGACGTATCGATACGACACGCCTTTTGCGGGCGGCGTGGGAAAAACGGTACTGTACGGTACGTAAACGACCGGCAATAGCGGAGCGGCTGGCGGGACACGGGCGAAAGGCCGCGCGGCCGGGCGACCAGCAGCGTTTAGCGTGTTTAGCAGGAAAGCAAACTGGCGACTACCGTTTAAAACGAGGAACGCGTTCGACGTTGTAAAGAACGGTCGCAGCCGGAGACATCGTTTCCGATGAGACAGTAACGAAACACGGTAACGAACGAACATACCAATAGGCATCGGCCAATGAAGTGCAGACGGACGACCAAATGGAATACGTACAATCAACTAGCAGAGACCGAGCCAGAAAGCCGGGAAGAAGAAACGCTACAAACAGCAGGTAGTCAAACTGAAAAAACAATTTTGTACAGAAGATCGAGGTAGACTAAGCTACTGTCTCAGACTGTATCTGACACAGGTAATGTGCCGACTAACGCAATTCGATTAACCGAGTATACATATTCGACGCCTACTTGAAACCTTTGCGAAACAAAACACGTATAAAACAGATTTGCCATCGACAGATAGTACTTACATTTTAGGACCTAGTTGAAACGGGTCGTTGAACGCAGAGGTGTATCGTTACACACATTTTATATCAAAACAACGAAACACAGATTGGCGAGAATTCGTTATGGACGTTTCGACGTTTCGCCGGACGGAATCGGCAAGCGGTTTAAGATTCCGGCACGCGTGTTTTTGGCGGTGAAATCGGGATTGCGAGTATCGGTATTCGAAGAGGAGGGTTGGAGGGGGGGTTGCGATTTCGGGATGAGTTGGTACGCGTTTTGCGATTCTAATCGGCCAGATTTTCGGCAGTGGAATTGGCTAAGTGTTTTAAAATACCGATCGGCGTGTTTTTGACGACGATATCGGGTTGCGTTTTTTGTTTTTTTGGTAACGTTGTCGGGAAGAGGTCCGTGTAGGTAGGCGGCCATATTAGCCGCGAAGCGTCCGCGTTTCTTTGGTTGTAAATCGGCGGTCGGTGTGCGATCGGCGCCGGTGTCGGCATTACAGTCGCCTGTGGCGAAAGCCGTTACCGGAGTCGGCCGGTCCGGTAGAAACGGATTGGATACAACAACACCCGACAAATGACGTAAGATAACGGCTGTTCCGGACAATGTTCCGCGACGATAACGCTCAGCGGGCGCTCAAACGATCCGCCCGAGACGGTACCGAACTAATCGGGGTTAACGATTAAATCGGACGACGCGGCCATGGGTCGGAACAAAATATTTTTTACCTCCAGCCGGGCCGTGGCGACGGCGGCCGTCCCCGTCCTCCGTAGACCGTCCGGTACGCTCCGAGTTCATTGTAAAATCCGTTGGCGTAAGCGCAACGGCGTAACGACGTTCTGCGAAACTGACACCGATGTGAACCGCGTATTTGGTGATCGTCAATGGTTCTCGGTTAGCCATCGCGGCTATACAACAACACGGTTGTTGTAGGTTAGTAACGAAATTAATATTAGCAGTTTCCCCCCCCCCCCCCGTTTCGACCACGTCGTAACGAACTTTAATCGTTATTTGCGGTGGCGTGCCCGGGAATCCACAATGGGAGGGGACATGGCGAGAAAGAAAACTGTAGAATCGTCTTCTCTACGCAACTCGACCACGGGAATTGCTTATTTAAAAGCCGGATCCTCGAAAGAAAAAACAACCAATCTCTAATCAATACGTCAAGCTTTTTTTCGTAAATTGGCTGAAATATATGTATTTCGATATTAAATAACTTTTTTTTCATTTTTTTGGCAACGGTTGGGGATATAACACCTAACCTCCCGGCCACCGATTATTCTTAATGTATACAGGGTAATTATTTTATCGTGAACCAACAATTATCTCGGCGATTTTTAAGTTAATTTGATTTCTCTTTTTTCTAATTCTTATGGAATCGTTAAGCTTTATTTGAAAAATATTTTAACTCTTTTACCCCTACTCCATGTACCTTAAATAATTATGAACTATTAATTATGAAATTGAAAACCCTTCACTTTTGAAATTCTAAAAATGTAGATATGCATAATACTAATATCGGATTTACCGTTTATGAGTTATAACAGTTTAAAGTTTAAACAGGAGTAGTAGGGAAGGGTTATAGATAGGCCTGTACAATAACCCTGTAGTGACGAGAACGAGAACTGAGAAGATCCGTAATTTCCGCAAAATCCTGTGAACCGGCTAATAAACTTTTTTCACTAGACACTATACGAGTATATAGTTAGCAATGTGGGGGCTCGGGCCGGTAGTCAGAAAAATGATAAAACAACTGGTGCAATCGTTTCGAAAATTTAGAAAAAAAATTTGTCCTAGGATATTGGGGACAAGTCCAGCCACTATTATAGATAACTTAATATATATCTGTAAGCAACGATTAACCATTTCTAACAAAAAAACGATTCTGAGCGGAGTTCGGTTAATAGTTATGCGTTGTCACCAATATATATATATATATATATATATATATATATATATATATATATATATCATATTATGGTAAAATAATTAAATAAGCTTTATATATTTTCTTTGATGATATTCGTTTGATATTGTATCGATTTTCTCATTTTTCCTACGTTTTCACATTTGCTGAGAAAATCGAAAAATGACCTTCCTAAAGTACTACCCCAAGAAAATTTTCTTTCAGAAAACAGTCTACATCGTATATATCGGAGTAAGCTTTCTGATAGAAAAAGTGTTTACGGAAAAAAAAAAACCTTAGTGAAACCAATACATTCTTTTCGCTACACTCAGAATCTAAAAATGAACTAGTTCACGATCTAGTTTACTTTTTTTTTTTTTATGAAGTTTCTTCGTTCAGGTTCATTGAAAGTTAAATTTGTTATTGATCTTACTAACTTTTCGTAGTCTCGGTGATTTTATTAAATATACTATTATACGTTATCTGAACAATCACAAGAGGACGTCACAGTAGAATTTTTAACTGTCTGTATTTCTAACAAACATTAATGAAATTTATTACGCTTATGCTCAATGTAAAATTTAGAATCTGAATGACATTTACCGACCGGCGACCAAATTATAGTTCAGATTCGTTGAAAAAATATAAACTTAATATATAAACACCAGTGAGCAGCAGAGCACTGTAAATAGAATCAAATTTTCCCGACTTATTTCCCGGTTACAGTATTTTATTTTTAGATTCTGAGCGCAGCTAGGAATGTATTGGTTTTACTTTAATATTTTGTTCCTAAACAACTTTTCTACTAAAAATCTCGCTCCAATCAAAAAATGACAAGAAACTTTTTTGTCGTATTTGGGATGTATTTGGTAAATTGGTCATTGAGTGGTTTTTTTTGATTGCCCAAGCCGTTTTTGTAATAACTATAAATAACCGGAAAAATTTATGTTACCGATTTCATTATTTTAAATTTGTTGTTTTTTAGTTTTCTAGCAGAAATCTTTCTCTAAATTTCAAGAAAAGAATGTTGTCTAGTCGTAATTAGATTTTCTTAATAATCGGAAAACAACAAGAAAGTCTATAGTATTAATGATTTAATTCAGATTTAATTTTTTATTTGTTGTAATGTTGTACCAACTTAATTCGGTTAAAAATAATTTTTAAAAATCTGAAAAAATTTTTCAAACTTCATTAATTCCGGGTTTATAGGTCATTAGTTCAATCTAAACGTGATGATAAATATTTTTATTATTGACATTGTCCTAGTGGTAGGTATGGTAACCGATTTTTTTATGAACAAATTTGCACGCGACAACAGATTTCAACAGTAATATTTTTAATATTTTTTTTTATCGTTATCGACGTGATTGATAAAACACACGCACATATGTTTAACGAAGGCCAATAAATATGTGTGTTTTATAGTCACGAGTCGTGAATTTCGAGATTTCGGACCACCGGGAATTTATATGAAATATCTCGCAAGCAAACCATATTATATATTGACTTTCTTTATTACCTATATACACAGTGTTCGATTTAACTGAATACGCTATTTATTTCGAAAAGTGTTAACTTTTTCGGAATTTGTTTTATAAAACATTAAATAAAGCAGCTCTACAATCTTAAATTTACGGTATTTGTTGTCACCCTTATTTTTCGGGGGTTAATACGAAACCACTACCAACTTTTAATTTTAACATGAAAACCTATATTAAAAATTCCATAAATAGATAGAGTATTAGTTATAATAAATTTTAGTGTGAAACTGATGATTTTCGTTAATCTGTTGACGAGATATTCCACTTTTAAATTTGGGTCGAGGGGGAGTAAACACCAATTCCAACATTTAACTAATAGTCCGTCTACTTATTGAATTTTGAATATAGGTCGCTATATAAAAATCAAAAGTAATATCAAAGGCAGTGGATTAATCCTAAAAATATAAGGGTGACAAATAATAACGAAATATAAAATTCTAGAGTTACTTGTTTTTTAAAATATGTACCATAAAATAGTTAATAATTTCCGAGATAATAAATGCACTCAATTAAATGGGACACTCTGTATATACTACTATCATTATAAAAGTTTGTTTTCAAGCAATTTGCAAATTTTATAATTCGCGATGACTTTCGAACGGTTTAATTTTCGAAATTTTTCATGTTTATTCGATCAGTTATAGGTACATATATGTTACGCAAGTCCGTCACTCATAAACGAATTGCAGCAACTGAAGATAAATTCAATGTACGGTACGCGTGTATATAATTTGTATAGTTTCGACATATTATATACTATTCACAATTTGGATAGGTTCAAAAATCAATAGTTCCGATAAAATTAAAAAAAATATATAAATAAATAAATTTAAGCACTTTAACACAACATTTTTAACATATATTATTTAAAATAATATTAATCTTCTAATTTATTTGAAACGTGTATGCTACGTTAATACCAAATACTACATGAAAACGTCACGGACAAATTCTTGTTTTTCAATATTTATATTTTTTAATTTATTTTTATCTGCACCAACTAGAAAACATTTTCTTTCAGAAAAGGTTCTACACACTATACATCGGGGTTAGATTTATTTTTGGAAAGTTTTTTAAAGAAAGAAAAAAAAAGCTCACATCATCTACTATGATGATAGTAAAAAAAATAGATCTCTTACTGTACTCTGTATCTAAAATTAGAAAAAAAATAGAGGTTTAATAAACTGTATAACACAGTATGACACATAATATTATAACAGAACTTCGCTAGAAATATCATTTGTCAAGACTCTAAAGTCAATATAGTGTTCAGTGTTCACACACATAAAGATATTTGATCTTCACTGGTTTCACAATATAAAAATATAAAAAAAAAAATTCTAAAATTTATTACGACCAAGGATAAATACAAATTTAAAAAATACATTTCACAAAAGAATAAACAATCAAATACAATTTATCAATTGCATTATACATGTAATACATATAAACATTATAAAATATAAAATTAATGATAGGAAGTAACTAGAAGTAAATGTTACTTTACAAACAATACATATAACAGGTTTCTCATTTATATAAGATTCTTATGTGTTTCGATAAATCAGATTTTTTCCTAAGTGATTTTGTACAGATAATACACTTTGAAAAGCTTTTTCCTAATATGAATTAATTTATAATGCACTAAATAGGACAATAAAGTTAATGATTTTTCAAAAACATTTCATTTGTAAGGCTTTTCTGTTGTATGAGTCATTATGTAGTTCTTTAAAGTAGATTTTGTCCTACATGATTTTTTACAAACAATGCATTAGTAAAACTCTCTTTTATGAATTAATTTATGCCGCTTTAAATTGCCAATTTGAGTAAATGATAATTTGCAAACATTACATTTGTAAGGGTTTTCTCCTGTATGAGTCATTATGTGGTTCTTCCAAGCTGATTTTGTCCTACTTTATATTTTACAAACATTGCATTTATAAGATTTCTCATCTATATGCATCTTTACGTGACAACTCAATGTAAATTTAGTCCTAAATGATAATTTACAAACATCACATTTGTAAAGCGTTTCTCCCGTATGAGTCATTATGTGTTTCTTTAAAACAGATTCTGTCCTACATGATTTTTCACAAACATTGCATTTGTAAGACTCTCTTTTATGAATTAATTTATGCCGCTTTAAATTGCCAACTTGAGTAAATGATACTTTGCAAACATTACACTCGTAAGGTTTTTCTCCTGTGTGAATTAACTTATACCGATTTAAACTGGATAAATGACTCAATGATACTTTGCAAACATTACATTTGTAAGGGTTTTCTCCTGTATGAGTCATTATGTGGTTTTTCCAAGCTGATTTTGTCCTACTTGATATTTTACAAACATTGCATTTATAGGTTATCTCATCTATATGCGTCTTTACGTGATAACTCAATGTAGATTTAGTCCTAAATGATAATTTACAAACATTACACTTGTAAAGCGTTTTTCCCGTATGGGTCATTGTGCGGTTCTTCAAATCAAATGGTTTTGTAAATGATTTTTTACAAACATTGCTTTTAAAACGTTTTTCATCAGTATCAATCAAATTGTGAATTGTCAAATCAGATTCTTGTACAAATGATTTAGTACACATATCAGAATCTAAAGGTTTCATATGTTTTAAAAAGTATGAGTTATCTTCAGTGTGAGTTTTCATATGTTGCTTTAAAGCATTTGCCTGTGTAAATGATGTATAACACCTAATGCATTTATGTATCTCCTTCTTTACATATTTCATTAAATGTGATGTTAAACCTGATTTTGAATTAAATATAATACCACAGTTGTTGCAAGTATAACTCTTTTTTCTAAGTCTTGGTTTTTTATGTAAAATTGATATCATAGGATCATTTTCAATAGTAATTATACTTTCAAACATACAACCATTTATTAAATCAAATTCTTTTTTTATTTCAATTGTTTGTTCTATTTATTCTTTGGAGTTGTGTATGTGTCTGAAAATATCATAATCACAATATATATTAATTATTCTTTACTTAAAACTAAATAATATGTAAATTATAAGTAAATAATACAATAATTGATTTAAAATGTATTGTACATGTATATAATATATATTGTAACAACAGCTTGTATATATATATAAAAAAAAAAAAAAACAATAGTAAAACTTAAATTTGGATATTCCGATATTTCTTCAAGCAATATAATAAAACATAAAGAAAGGTTTATTGAAAAATGTTCATTTTAATCATCTATCAATTTTATTATTTATTATAGAACATGAGGTGTAATATATATATATTTTTACAGATGGCGGAGCAAAAAAAGTAAGACAAATATTACTATTTCATAATTAAATGCTAGTAAATAGCAAATTAACTAAACATTCAAACTGGTTTTTTTTTTTTTCAAATCAAATATATCAATAGAACTAATGAAACTATTAACATAAATAAACAATCTTGATATTAAACTATAGCTATTATTTATTAAGCCATAATTGGACTTATTTGAACATAATACTCCAGGCAATACATTGATTCTTTTATTTATTATTTATTATTTTTATACATACATTTTTTTTTTATGAGTATTAATCATTTTAATAATTTTTTTTTTTACTTTATTATTTTATTATTGATTATGAAATATTATATACTAAAGTCAAAGAAATTTAATAATAAAAAAAAAAAAGAAAACATATCAGTAAATATAACTTTTTTAAAAATCTACTCTACTAACCAAAATTAACTTATATACATTCATATTCGTCATATATAATGATATATACATGTAATCTTTCTGTATTAATATAATTTTGAAAAATTCATCCATAAATTAAAAAAATGTTTCAACAATCAGGTACTTAAACAGTAAAATAAAATTGTACTATGTACAATGTTAGAAACCGATCATTACACAGATAAAAACAATAATTCTCTAATATCTATAGCATGTGGAAAATAGATACCAGCAAAACAGTGTTGTTAGATGCTAGTTATTAATATTCCTAATCTTCAACTCAAAATTTCCTTCTGTATTATTTTTTAGTTCTGTCATTGTTTTCTGAATAGTATACCGAATCATAATTGATATTGAATTATACATTTTGAACACACTACAATTAAACTGAGTTTACATATTCGATGAATTATGGTATGGTTTACATCACAACAAACTTATCAAAATTATTAGACAGAATGAAAATAATATATTATTAAACAATAGTAGATAATCAAGGTGCCTGTAAAAATCTGGAACGTGCAATTATTGAAATTACAAACCTAGTGAGTATAAATCTAGAATCCAGGGTTTTACGGCTATCGAAATTTGAACCGTACAAACTTGGAATGTACAAACTATGAAAAATAATTGTCTACTAATCCAGTGTTACCAACATCGAATAAAAAAATCTGGATTTCCATATACAATTACCTCAAGAAATTCGTTAGTGTTAACCGGTGTGAATTTGAGAAATTTTTTTAGAGTAACCGGGGTTAAAGTTAACGACACCGGTTTAATTTTTCTGCACCATCACATGCATATGGTGCAAACTATTTACACTAGTTTCATGCCCTCTCATTTTACCCTCGAAACAATAAACGAAAAGATAAATTATAATAATAATAATTTAGTTGTTAACAATTAATACCTATTCAAATTAATTTTTATTAAGTACTTATTAGCGGAAAATAAGAAGTATAGTTTAGTTAATTCCACGGTCTTAGAAGACCATGCTTTTCTAAGCTAATACTGAGAGCTAATAATACTGAGATGGTTTAGGCGTGCAACGGTGAGAGAGGAATCTGGAACAGTAAGAATTGTAATGAAAATAAATATGGTAGGAAAGAGACGGAGAAGAAGACTGAATAACAGGCGGTTTAAATGTTATGAGAGTACAGCCGCGGTGTATGTGAGTAGGAAAGTCGGTTCAAGTGGAAGCTTAGAACGAGGGTGGCCGACCTCACATGTTCGAGATCAATACTCAGAACAATAAGGGGAAATAAATATAAATTTGTACATCAATTTTCATTAACACTGATATTATTTTACAAATTACAGCATATTATTATTTTGAGCAACGTTTTTACGACCGCGGCATTATTGAAAAATTGTCGACGGTATAAACGTTTATTGCGTCTTATGATACGTACAGACTTGCGTTTTTTATGAACAAACTGTGATAACAAACACTTTACGGGGAAATGTAAACCGACGGCCTTTAATAGTTTGCTTTAAACGCCAATAGACGGCAGTGTAAATACAACGTCAATAAAACAACATAAATGTAACGACGGATTTGGTTTTATTTTTGAATTCGCCGTTAATATTTTTAATTATTTTATCCCGTGTAGTAGGTACCTCTAAATGATAAGTTTTACATTTGTCGTAGGCCCCCCTCCTCCCGGGGGGGGGAGTCATGCCCTCCTCTCGGTTACCTCCTCCTCCCCACCCCCAACCACCTCGATAAAACCGTGTCACGCGGTCCGCGGAACCTAACCGAACGCGCGAATATTCCCGACCGGCTCGCGCGCGCGGAGAACACGGCGGACACGGATACCTGCGCGTCCGTTCGCCACTCTTTCTCGCCGCCTCCGCGGTCGCACGAACCGCTGAGGCGCTGACCATAATGCAATACACCCGATATATTACACGGTCTTCTCGGCGAGAACCAACGACGACGGTCCGGGTGTAATATTATAGAGGCGAACGAACAAACGACGACAATATAATAATAAAACGCTATAAATAATAACAATAATAATAATAATAATGACCGGACGGCTCGAGAGAGAATGTGTGTGTGTGTGTGAGAGAGAGAGAGAGAGAGAGAAAATCGCGACTGCGGCGGCGTGGCTTGTTCCGCTCGTGTCGCGCGGCATACTCGAGCAGAAGAAAAAAAAAATAATAATAAATAAGCGCGCGTATTGTGCAGAGGAGAAAAAAAAAGAAAAGAAGAAATTTAAAAAAACGAAATAAAACCCCGCGCGCGCGGACGGTGGGAGGCGACTTTATTATTATTATTATTATTATTATTGTTATTATCTGCGGCTATTGTTTGCGGGCGCGAACGCGAGCACTCCGCACGTACGGTCCCGGCGCGCTTTTTTCCGCAATATCATCGGCCCGCGCGAGCGGCCACCATCATAACCGCGCAGTTTTATTACGGAGGCGCACGCCGCGCCGCGCTATGCAACGCAAATACACGCTCGCCCGTGTAACATAGGTATATACGAGTATACATATATACGAATATACATATATATATATATATATACGAATATACATAAATATACGAATATACATATATATATACATATACGTACACGTTCCCGCACAATAGGACGCTAAAATGTTGGTCAATATGTTATATATTATATCATATACGCGTATATATATATATATATATATATATATATACGCGTATATGATATAATATATAACATATTGACCAACATTTTAGCGTCCTATTGTGCGGGAA